TCATGATTTTGGGGGTGGGTGGGCATGTGTACTGAAGGGAGATGGGGAGAAACAGGCAGGTGCAAACCCCCACAAGGGGATCCAGGAATCCAGGAGACCCCCCGCTTCCTCCCCAAAAAGCAACCAAGGTATATGGGTGAGCATTCCCCAAAGCCAAGCAATATAGAGAGGTCCCTGTGCCCACCAGTGATGTCCCCGTGGCAAGCAATAATGTCCCAGTGGCCAAAACAGCGAGATCCCTGGGTCCACCAGCAAGGTCCCCGTGGCCACATGATGGTACCCGTGGCCACCAGTGATGTCACCATGACCATCAGCAAGCTCCCTGTTGCCACCAGTGAGGTCTCTGTGGCCACCGGTGAGGTATCTGTGGCCACCTGTGGGTCCCTGTGGCCACCAGGAGGTTCCCTTGGCCACCAGTGAGTTCCCAGGGGCCACAAGTGAGGCCCCCATGGAAACCAGAAAGCTCCCCGTGGAAACCAGCGAGGTCCCTTTGGCCACCTGTGGGTCCCCATGGCCACCAGCAAAGTCACCGTGGCAACCCGTGGTGTCCCCATGGCCACCAGCAAGGTCCCTGTAGCTACCAGCCATGGCCACCCAAGAGTCCACATGGTCACCCATGCATCCCCTTGGCCACAAGTGATATCCCTGCAGCTACTGGCAAGGTCCCCATGGCCACAGGGGAGGTCCCCGTGGCCACAAGTGATGTCTGCGTGGCCAACAGTGATGTCCTTGTGGTAACCAGCGAGGTACCAGTGGCCACCTATGAGATCCCTGTAGCCACCACTGTCGCCAACAGTGAGGTCCTTGTGGCCAGCAGTGAGGTCCCAGTGGCCACCAACAAGGTACTCGTGGCCACCAGTGATTTCCCCAAGGCCACCAGCGATGTCCCCATGTAAACCAGTGAGGTCTGCGTGGCCAACCAAGGGTCCCTATGTCCACCAGTAAAGTCCCTGTGGCCACCAGCGAGGTCCCTGTTACCACAAGTGATGTCCTTGTGGCCAGCAGCGATGTCACTGTGGCTGTCAGTGAGGTCCCTGTGGCAACCAGCGAGGTCCCTCTGGTCACCTGGAGGTTCCCATGGCCACCAGTGAGGTCCCCGTGGCCACCAATGAGGTCTCCATGGCCTCCCAGGGTCCCCGTGGCCACCTGATGGTACCTGTGGCCACCAGTGAGGTCCCTGTGGCCACCCATTGGTCCCCAGGAACAACCAGTGAAGTTCCCATGGCCACTATCAAGTTCCCCGTGGCACTCATGGGTCCTCATGGCCACCATTGGTGTCCCTGTGGCCCCCAATGATGTCCCCTTGGCCACCAGTGAGGTTCCCATGGCCACCAGTGATGTCCCTGTGGCCAGAAGTGATTTCCTCGCAGCCAACAGCGAAGTCCCTGAGGCCACCTCTGGGTCCCCACAACTACCAGTGATGTCCTCATTGTCACCAGCAAGGTCCCCGTGGTCAGCAGTGAGGTCCTGGTGACCACCCATGAAGAGGACAAAGGAGCCACACCCTCCCCCCGTGTCTGCTAGTGCCCCCAGGGTGGTCGGAGCTGGGACCAGTTTCACTTCCCAGTTCCCTGAGGAACTCAAGGCTGGAGCAGAAGCTCCTACTGGTGAATCACCCCTGGCCCAGTCCCTCCCAGTTCCCCGTTGGGCCCAACTGGTGACTCATGCTCACATGGGGAGGGGGGAGGGTATGGGGGAAAAACAGCGAGATTTGGGCATAAAATGAAAATAGGAGAATTTGGGAGGGCTTTGGTGGGGATGTGGCCATTCTCACTGGTGGCCACTGGGACCTCGCTGGTGGCCAGGGGGACCTCCCCATCCTTCCTCACTGACCAAATGGGGCCAAAGCAACCCTTCCCCCTTTTTGCCCAATTTCACTGCTTTTCTCCCCACAACCCTAATTTTGGCGTCCCTCCCTCTCGGGAGGACCCGAGTGACATCATGGAGTCACGGGGGTCACACTCCCCCC